CGTTAAACCATTTTTGAGAATTTTTTATGCATAATTGTAATGTCAAATGAATTCTGAATCTAACATGCTTATAGTCAAATCGATATTCTCGACGAGACGAATCTAAATAGCCTAATATTTCTCAATGATGTCATCATTAAAACAGTTAAATGTCTATTGAACGTCGTTCTCTTCATGCTATCCAATCAGAGTGATCTGGATTCTTTACTTATTTGTAACATTGACTCTATGAATAGATTTCTACCACTCACTTGAAATGGGACCTAGACCAGGAGCAAAAGAAAAGTAGAAGGAACTGAAGAAAAGTAAAACCTGAAGCTCAACATCACTTCTATACTACAAATATATGTCATGTCTCGGGATCTATGCGGATGATGAAAATAAGTTGGTAGCATATCAAGGATTTTTTTATAATATTTTTTTTTTATTTTTTTCAAATTTTTATTTACTGTTTCGAATATTTTATTTGTATTTAATTTTTTTAATATTTTGTTAAAAAAAATTTTAGCATTAATAACTATTTTTATCTTAAAATAATAAGAAGAATAATAGTAATAATAACAGATAAATAAAAAAGAAAAAAAATATTAAATAGTTCCAATAATTTTTAATTAATAATAATATTAATTATTAAGTAAAAAATAAAAAAAAATGTAAGATAAAAAGAGAGGATTATTGGTATATAAATACCGATTTTTTATCTTAGAAGGGTCAAAATTGACATTTATAAATGCCAAAACGGAGATTTTGTGATTTCAATTATTTTTTTTTTCAAAAAATGCAGAGTATTTAAAAGAATTTTTTAATTCGTCGGTTTTAAGAAAATACTCGTGAAGAAGTGGCACTTGGAAGATGTACAGTGATTGTTGATAAAAAATTAGTTCATTTGCATACATACTGTTAGCTGGAGCCCGATCTTCGCCTCTCGACATCCCGATTCGCGAATGGGGAGCTGTTCCCACCCAACTGTTCCCGCGAACAGTTCCGTTGTTTCGCAAAGTGTCACACCCGCACCCCCCGCATCCTTTTTATCGTGAAACCGAGAGGTCTCATTGGGTCTTCGACAATCTTTCTTCCTTTTGCTTGAGCAGCAAGATTAAACAAGAAGAAAAAGAAATTAGTGTTCTCTCCTTCAGTTTTCTGCACGGCATTTTTTGGTGTTCTTCTTCGGGCTTCCTCGGGATAGAGGAAGAGAAGTGCAAACAGTAATTCCTTGCTGCAGAAGAAAAAAGAAAGAAGAAGAAGAAGATTGTTCTCCCTTGACTTCTTCTTGTTAGCTTGTGGCAGAAGAGAAATTATGTTTATTTATCTTGTAAGTTTATCTTCTTCGGTGTATCTCGGTGTAGAGAGAGAAAAAAAGATAGCAAGGAAGTGAGCGATCCTTCTTGCAAGTCAAGACGTCGACTAATGTAACTTCCTCAAGTAGTAAAATCCTCTGCAACTCCGTGGATGTAGGCACTTTGCCGAACCACGTAAATCTATTTATTCTTCCGTGTTACTATTTTCTAGTGTGAATTTTCTCGTTTTATTTTTCTCTTCATCAAAGATCGTTCTTCTTTTATATATATATATATCACAAATCTATTTATATCACCCAAACCTTTCATATCCCATATTTAAATTACTTTTTACATTTAACTTAAAATGATAATATTTTTGGCGTGATGATATTTTTGGTGTATATAGATGTATTAAAAAAAACTTAAGTGTTATATATAAAAATCACTAAAATTTTTAGATCTGCACCGGCCCTTAATTATTTTTTTCTCAAGCCGGCCTCCTAATGAGTCAAGAATAGGCAAGAAATGAGCAATTAATTTTATCTTGGAAATAAGTTATAATCAAACATCACCTCAAAAAAAATTAAAAAAAAATCATTTTATAAGCACATGCAAATAATAAGTTTAAAATATTTAATAAGACTCCCTGCGAGTGAAAAGAATACAGAGAGATACACTCAAATCAACTATCTACAAACACATCGTTCCAACATTTTCCCTGTATCTCACAAGAGAAAGCCCTGGCTGAAATCCCCCTCCTCAACCCTCTCGGCTTCACAAAAATTTTATGGAGAAACACCGATGTAAAAGATACATCTATCGCTCGAATCAAAGATTTAAGAACACTCCCGATAGCATATTCAATTGAACTTCTGAAAGCGCCATAACAATTATCAATTACAAGGTTAACAATTATATGAAATTAAAAAATCATAAATTTGGATAAAAAACTAAAAATACAATAATAAAAGTTAATTCATTCATGAAATTAATTAAATTATCATGATTACAATTATAGATAATAAGTCAGCAACATTTATTTATAAATCACTCATTTACATAATTGCCCACATGGATTGACAGAGGAAAATTGAAGGGATTTTATGTGCGAATGTGAAATCGACATTTTCAACAGTTGGGAAGAATCCATAAGAAGCATACAGTCGAAGGATATATGAGGAGCAACAATATATGCTCATATTCAACACAGTCAACCACACAATTGTTTCTATGTTTCACCCCCAAATTCTCCAAAATTAGTTGTTGCCGGCCTTCTGCCATTAGCATTCACAACAAAAGCTGTTGTTTTTCAATCTCTCACCGCCGAAAAAATAAATTGAATTATCATTTATATTACTTCGAATTTATATTTTAGCTCCTCATTACTCTGATAATTTTATTTTTTTTATGAAAAATTACCAAAAAAAATGGTTTTTTTTTAGGTAATGCTGATAAGGAAAATTTCCTTCAAAATGTCTAAGCTTTCAGAATCAATCCTCTTTCATTTGCACTCTTAGGGTCTGTTTGGGGCAGTTGTTGATTATTTATAATCTGCTGATAAACAGATTATTCTGATAATCTGCAAATTATCAGAATAATTATCAGAATATAAGTTATCTTGATGTTTGGGGGGGCTTATTCAGAATAGTTTATTGATAGTTGTTGCTGGATAAATATTCATTCTACCCATATTTGATGAAAATGTTTGCAATAGAATTAAATGAGCGCATACAAAGTACTTTAAAATCTTAGCAACATGATACTTTAAAATGAACAGCCATTTGAATCAGAAATACAAATCCCAACAATCAGTATAATGACTTCCTCTATATGAAGCACTTGCACAACCGAGGAAAGCAAGAGACAACTTCCGCATCAAGGCTCACCATATACTTGCAAGAAGTAGTTGTTCATACGGTTTTATGCAAAAGCTAATTCATCGTATTATGGAGCTGCCAAATTGGGGTTTGTAATACCCATTTTTGGATGAATAAACATTTGCAGATTAAAATGAGAAAACACCAAAGCATACCAGTTTATAATGAGAAACTATTTATAATGAGAAATTCCATGTATGCTCCATGAGAAAACACCAAAGCATAGCAAGAGAAATAATGGGAAACTATTTATAGAGATATAGCAAAGAAGTTGTTCATACGGTTTCAAGCAAAAGCTAATTCGTCATATGAATTACTAAGGGTACTTCATCCGAAAATGGGGATTTACAAAGCCCAATTTGGTAGCTCCATATATGGTCCATAAGAAACTCATTATGCATACCCCAACTCCATAAGCACCATCTACCTCATCAGAGACAACACAAAACCCATTAAAAATCACTTCCTCTACTAGACATAGGAAAAATACAGTAGTGATAGGAAAAGAACACCTATAATGGAGAACACAAATCATTTGCAACTACCCGTAATGAAAAAAAAAAGAACACACATATCAGCAGTGTAAGCCTTTTTGTACTGCCTCCTTTACTACAAATATTAGAAAATAATGAAGCATTGACATTACCTACTTCTCTGTGCCACCATGTAAAAAATCAGAATGTTACATAAACATAGCTTCATTTTCATATAACAACATCATGCACAAAATGTAAATGGATGCTTCCTTTATCAGAGAGCAACATTCCTAAAAAAAAAAATAGAGCTATAGATAATTCAAATCATACTCTTAAAATTTAATTCTCGAATGAAGCAAGTGTACGCCTTTCTTGAGCTAGAAATTCATAAGCCTTAAAGCACTTTGCTAGGTTCTTCATGTTCTGATTAAGTTCATAAGCCTTTCATATAAGAACTGCAAGCATTGCAATTTTCATTTTCACTTGAGACATATATAAGACCTTCATAATTTCTATATTGTAGAGAGGTAGAGAAATGAGATCATTTTTTAAAATAGTAACTCTCCCCCAAATGAGATAAACATTATCTCCTAAGAGTTAAACCTAAATTGATTTCCTTTTTCTCCTAACAATTAACTTATCACAGAACAGGGGAAAGCATATATAATAATTTCTCTAAAGCATGTAATTCATTATATGAATCATATGGCTCCCAATGGAAAGCATATAGTCATTACAGTACTGGCTCATGAATCTTATGGCTCCCACCATCTAGCTCATCAGAGGCAGCACAAAACCTATGAAAAATCACTTTCTTTACTGTAGATAGGAAAAAAAAACTCAGAAGAATATACCACGTGTCTTCTCTATATATATGGAGAACTCGTGAATTATTTCGATCCACCACTAAACTTCTCAGAAAATTTTCAAGAAAATACAAGAAGGGAGTGCGAAGAAGGGGCACCTTTCGATCCACCACCTAACGAACGGGGAATGGGAGAGGGGAGGGGTGCACGATATCGAGAGCCGAGAATAGGGAAGCATGATCACAGAGCAAGGGCAACGACAGAGGAAACGAGATCGTGGGGTTGATGAGTAATAAGCTGAGCCTAAATACAATAATGCATTGAGGCTCTCCCAACGAAAAACAATCGAACAGATTTTAACATAAACCCTTAAGCGTTACCCGACCATTGGCCCCAATGCATTAAACAAACGCCTCCGCAACATTACTAAAACGACGAATGCAGGAATAAGCTGCACCAAACGGACCCTTATTCTCCATTTCACCCTAGAGATTGTCAGAATTACATTTTACCAAAGATTGTCTGATGCCTCAAGTCGGCCAATTCTTCATTAGAAATTTCCTAACAGTCATTATCCATCTCCATTGGGGGTGGATGAGGATGAGGACAAGCACTTTGAGCACTAGAAACGACAACAACAACGTCAGAATTATCTGCTGCAATAGAATGTGATCTTATGTGGCCGCCTAGAGCTTGCCCAGATGGAAATTCTTGCTACAAATGTTGCACACGTGATTTCCAAAATTCTTCGGTGATTTTGTAACAATTTGAGAATCGCCATTCCGATTAGTCAATTTTTTAGATCCTCCTCACTTTATTGTGTCCTGTGCGGTGGCCGCCAAGAGCTTGATATGAATCAAAGCGCTTGTTGCAGATTTTGCAGACATACATTTTTCTGTTGCAAAAACTCTGCATTCCAGATTCAGAATCACATTAAATTGATAAACTCCTCTTTTCTTTTTTAAGAGCGGCAGGATTGATATCACCATGATCACTGCTACTTGTTAAAGACCAGACCTTTGGCTTTTTGGACTGTTGACCTTCATCCTCAGAAGGAAAAGAATGAACTTTATTTCCAAATCCAATTGTAAGAGAAATCTTACCAATTGAATCATATCAAATTAGCATATTCTTCTACGAGCATCAACTCCTTGCAGTTCTTAAGGGAGAAACAAAAAACAGACACATTTGCAACCTTTGGTGCACTCCCCGTCTTCTTCTTCTTCTTCGGCGGCATTGAAAATATACTCAACTTACCATAAGGTTGGCCCAACATTTCATTCGATTTGTAAGTTCCCCTGCTCCTTAAATCATCATCGTTGTCCCCATGAATGAGCTCTTCCCTGGTTATCTGAAACGATGCATTCAATGAAGAGGAATCCTTCTCTAGCTTGACACGGTTCTTATCCTTAAAATTCTCCAGTCGCTCCATCTCAAACCGCTGCGACTTCTTTGGATTGATTATAAGGCCATGTTCGCTCAACGACTTGTCTTCATCCTTCATGGGAGGGCTCAGCACAACATGAGATCTCATGTGACCTCTAAGAGATCTCCAATTGGGGAAGCATTGTCCGCATGTTGTACAACTGTGCTTCTCCATTGCAGCAAACATAATGATTGAATGAAAATTGCAGAAGCTAGGAATCAAAAGAGAAGAGATTCTAGACCACAAAGTGCCATGTTAGGATTACGCCTTGTGATCCTCCGTATTAATGCTGCTGAACTGATTTAAAAAGATCTGATTTTGTATCTCGAACTAAAAAGAAGCAATCTTGGATCGATTATGTAGTTTTTTCTCTGCTTTCCTTAGCAATGGAGCTTCTTTCTTTGTGGATGGGGGAGAGAAATATGATTGCGGAGTTGTTGGTGAGGTGAAATCCGTGCATGGAACCAAGGTTATATGGAGAGCAGGAGAAGAAATTATCGCACGTGTTGAGCGCACAGTACGCCTCGTTAGTGGATTGGACGGTCTTGTTTGCATCATGTAGATGCCAAACATAGCTAAATACCGTTAGGGAAGAAAGAACCTCCATAACTGGCTTATTTTTTTTGTTAAAAAAAGGAAGAATCTAGAACTTTGTTCTCATTTTGGAGCTGATTGTCATCTCCCATAGCTCTTTGGGATGGTGGGCAACCCATGACTTAAATACTGTTTTTCGGCCCTACACCTAACCGATGTGGGACTTTTTGTCCGTGACATTCTCCTCCACCCAATCAAATGACATCCTCTTCACGGATTGGCTCCACCGAGGGTCCCACTGGAGCATGGAGAGTCCACACACCTGGCAAACAGTAATCTGCTCAGATACCACTTGTCACCTCCTAAAAGAGCTCTTAGAGGTGGTGGGCAGCCCAGTGCTTAAATACTATTTTTCGGCTCTACACCTAGCCGATGTGGGACTTTTTGTCCATGACATGATATATCACATACCAAAATATAATGCAAGCCTTTTAAAGCAGCAACTAATACTAATATGGGGATGACATCATGCAAAGCAGCAACTCACGCGTAAATTGTTAGAAACAGTGTAGCCCGGTCCACTATGCTTGGGCGGTTACTTTGCTTTGGAGAGTCACACCTCTTCACAAATAACCACTCCCGTCTTCCTCTTTTGTGAAGTGAAGTATCTCTTATCTCTTCGCTCAAGTATCTCTTCGCTCCCTCCTGTTAGTGATAAAAGCTTCAGATGGCTTTTCTTGGATTTAGAAGTCACGATTTTAGTTCTTCTTCGGTTTCCTCGGGATAGAGGAAGGTTTCCTCGGGGTAGAGGAAGAGAAGTGCAAGCGGTAGTTCCTTGGGACAGAAGGAAGGAGGAAGAAGAAGATGTTCTCCCTAGGCTTCTTCTTGGTGGCTTGTGGCAGAAGAAAAATTAGATTTATTTATCTTGTAAGTTTGTCTTCTTCAGTATATCTCGGTGTAGATTTTTCTCGGTGTATCTCAGTGTAGAGAGAGAAGAATAGAGGGAGAGAAGAAGAGAGAAAGCAACGAAGAGTGAGAGATTCCTCTTGTAAGTTGAGGTGATCGACTGGTGTAAATTCCTCAAGTAGTAAAATCCTCGGCAACTCCGTAGATGTAGGCAATTTGCCGAACTCTCGGCTATTTTTTCTGTGGAAATAAGATTTTAAATTTTTAAATTTAATATAATATATAATGTAATTTTAATTTTGTGAAAATGGTATATTTTTTTTTATTTTTGGAAAATGATGAGATCGGATATACCTCATATATCTGATAGTTTAAATAGCTGGACATGATACCATAAATGATATATCATCTCGAAGGATGAACGTATCACTTATTGATAGACTTAAATATCTAAACTTAAAAGTTTATGGCTCTATTTTGGTCTGTGAAATTTATAGCCGACAAATTCCTCTATTTAATACACAGATTAGATAGGGTTTAGATTAGATAGGGTTTACATAGATTAGATAGGGTTTAAATTAATATGGGTTCTTAATTCCTTATAGAAGCAAACCCCTATAGTTAATTACATCTTAGACAACTGAAGTCACCTAAGAAAACTCTCGATTAAGATCAGGGTTTTGTCTTCAAGAATTCAACTTTTAGGTTTCCATTTTAGGTTTCCACGATTTAGGTTTCCACGATTGTTTATAGAAAAAGTCATGTGGGATAGGTTCAAATAAAAACAGTTATTTTCATAATCCATAGGAGCAAAAGTAGGAGATGTCGAATATACTGAAGAAGATTCAGTGACATCTCAAACTAATCTATGGTTTGACTTTACATCTTTGAAAAGAAAATTATATGATATTTTAGTCCTGTAAGTATTTAGATATTCGGGGCTTATATCTTCATTTCATATGTAAATGGCCAGAGGAAATGTGAAGATTTATGTCGTACCGAACGACGACCTCAAAATCCTAAAAAGTTTAGGACTTATATCGTACGATATAAAATCGTAGAAAGTCCTAAAAAATAATGTGAGGATTTACGTCGTGTCAGACGAACGACCTCAACATCCTATAGGTATGTTATTTAAGTTTATCGAAGCTCGGTTGAAATTTCTCATGTTGTCTTCTGTTGTCACCTCGACCGTCATCCGAAGATGAATTGTCATTTGTCCATGTCGTCTTCTTGTTCCGAGAAAAGGGATAAAGAAAAGAGAAAATCATGCCGCGAACGACCTATCCTAGAGTGTTATACAAACATGCTAGGAAAACGATATTTAAAAAATATGAATATAGATGAATGCCTATAATACAATGTAGTAAAGGAAAGGAACAATTGTGTAATAAAGTACTGTAACAGAAAAAGACTGAAAGTAAACTATGAAAGTAAAGCAGTATAAGAAAAGAAAGACTATGCGGTAAAGAAAGGAATATACAGTAAAGAAATAAAACTGAAACAACTAAGTGTACCTGATTAATTTTGGCAATGCTACAAAAATATATTACATTCACATGTTATAAAAGGGTTAGATAAACATTTGCAGATTATAAAAGATAAGTTAAATGATAAGCATATGAAAATTTAAAGTGGGATATCGACTTTTAATTTAGGAATAGGCTCAGACTAGGCTTCTTTTTATTTCATCAATCCCCCAGGCTATTAATATATCGAAGTCAACCTATCAATATCAACTAGAGGTCACCAACTAATCACCTCTATAATCGAGCAGCCCTAGAACCTGTCATTTAATGAATGTGCAAATCTAAATAATATCTGGAATTATCTTGTTAAAGGTATAATGTACCCATGTGAGATAGTATCTGAATTTATCGAGGTGTGGTGCACCTATACGTGGTGTTAGGATAAGTGACGTATAATATCTGAACTTATCGGGGTGTGGTGTGTAGTAACTAGACTTTCAAAAGAAGTGTAATACCTATTCTTATAATATATGTCAGGTAGTGTATAGTGTGAAATATGTGATGTATTACAAATGCAATATCTGTCGTGTAGGGTGTAATGTGTAGTGTCTATTGTGTATCAGGGTATTTGTTGTGTAGTATCTAGACTTATCAATTAAAGGCATGTGGTATATCTATGTATAGTGTATGAAATGTATTATATGATATGTGGAGTGTCTATGTGAGTATTATCAAGTGTACATATATTAACCAGTGTATAGTGTCTATGGTGTGGTATTTACCATTTCTTAAAAATGGTACCTATCATTTTGTGGATGTGATATCTGCTCCATTTTTGCAAGTATAGTATCTGCATAATGAATTATTATGTATCTGTTCTTTTTTCTAACTACCAATTCTCAAGCCTTTTGAAAAGGACTAGAGCTGCCAACGACTTAAGGGGTGAAAGGGCATCTCACTATTTGAATATCGATTTTTTATATTTTCAGCTATAAGAAAAGCTGATCAATGGTTCTTTGCATCATTGTCTGTTGCCCCGCACTTCAAACTTTTAGGCCACCTTAATGTTTCATATGCTTATCTAATAATTTCCTCTTTGAATGTTTTGTATAATGAAATGAAAAGGAACAAATTTCTAAAAGGTTCGTGTATATAATTGTTTCATGTCACATTTCAGAAATCATATATCCCACTATATGATTTCCCACTATAGCTAAAATATTTACAAAGTAAGCATATGGAAGATTTTAAGAATGCTTGCACGCCTACCACTCTACTCCCATGTGTTTGCACAACTAAAAATTTAAAGTTCTGTAAAATAAGGCTAAAGGAAATTTGTACACACACCATGCAGTTCTTAAGTATTTACATATAGACCACTTACATATATACCATCCAAAAAAACTTTTTTTTTTTTATAATCCAAAAGAAATAACACAATTACATGCATAGGTAAGACAACACATACATGGGAATTGAAATTTGGGTGTTAGATATGCAAATATGCATGAATTGAGCGGTATAAATGTAAATATGAGAGAATTAGATGCTGCAAATAGAAGGTGAAAACATTTGTGGTGACATGCAAAAAGATTTCCAATGAACTTTGCTATCAAACAAATTTCCATCAATACATTATGTTCACTTTATCAATGTTTATCTATCGATAGGCTAGCAAACAAGAAGAACCCTTGCACTCCTTAAAGTTTAAAATTTACTTCAGCATATTCACACAGGAAACCACCAAACCATCCTTTTAAAGCACCCAAAACCAGACTCCAACATATATTCGAACAGAAAGCAAAATTGAAGCTCCAAAACAACTACCCAAAACATCAAATAGATTCCAATGTGCATTCGAACAGGGGCAGCAATAAGGAGAGTAAAACCGAGCCATTAAAAGAGCTACTCAAAGCAATAAACAATCTCAATATGTATTCGAATAAGGGCAGCAACAGCAAGAAAAAAATCGAGCAATTAACAATAGCAGGAATCAAAATCCAGCCACCAAAATCAAATTTTTAAGAGCCTCAAAATCAAATAAAAGCCCCTTGAATATGTCTTGAGTAGGAGAACAACAGGGAAGCATAAAGTAAAGCCCTCAACATTTTTTTGTAAAAGCGTCAATATCAAATTAGTTCAGCAAGGAAACCTCAGCCCATAGGGCTAAACAGCTAAAAAATCTCTCATATAAAGCCCATGCAGTAAAGAAAACCACTAGCCAACACCCAACATAAGAGAATCCACAAGTAAAGATTCACGGCT